CGGGCCGTGATGGGGAGCCGGTGGACGGTGTCCGCCGTGCGCCCTTGACGAGGGCAGCGCCCGCAGTTAGTGTACCGCTGGCGCGGTCCTGTGGGGTGGCTTTCCATGTTGTCCCTCCCGAGCGACGACCGCTCGGTCTGAGCCTCAGCGGAGGGAGCTTGGCTCCAGTACCGAGGTTTGCTGGGAACATGGGGCAGAGGGTGCTCGGGAGCACTGGAGAAGCCCTTGGGCGGCTCTGGAGGGGCCGTAGGGATCGCAGTCCTGCCCGGGTACCGACTGTGGGCTTAGTTGGTTTGGTGTTATTCCTTCTCAAGTACAAAGGGATAAGGCGTGCTGAGGTAGTGTGCTCATGGCATACTGGTATCACACGTAGCGCTGGTTTTATGGGGTGATTTAGTAAGACAACTGACTTAAAGTCATAAAAGATAGCTTGCCCTGGCAGCATTGCCTATAATGTGCAGTTTCTGGATTTCTAGACTCCTTGTTAAGTTACTTTAATGGTATTTGGTACTGTGCTGTACTTGATTACACCTTTGTTCTCCATAATCACAGTTAAGGAAAGGTGAACATTTTACATGTGGTGTGGTTTTGTTTTTTTTTCTTTTTAAAATCAGTGATTTTGTTTTGAGGTTTTAGTGTTGACTTTCCAGTTGACTTTGGCAACTCTTTGAAAAAGGGCACTATGGAATAGTATTTAAGTAGCTGGAGAGGAGAGCAGAAGGTTAACAACATAATAATATTCTGGCCTTGAAATCGCATTAACCCATTATGAGACTTGAGGAACTTAGATAAATTATTTGAAAAGCTTGATGGTTTTGCTTTATGGAAACATTGTTTTTAGCTCAAGTAAGAGTTACGGAGCATAAAAGTGTTGATGCTGTCTTTGACAATGAACTGTTAGCATTGTTCCAAGTCTTAAAGCAGTGTAATATTCAAATTTAGTAAAACGAAGGTCAAATTATTGTACGTAAGAAGCACTCATTCTACCTGTTCAGCGTCAGCTAAGCAATACTGAAAAGTTGAGAGACCAAGTCATGTATGTTCAAATTCAAACTTGATGTAGTGTTGCATTGCTGCATGTGAAGGAGGCCAACCACTATTTGTGTACTGTCATAGTAGTGTGTAAGAGTTGAATTTTATCTTACTGTGCACCTGATGATGGTCAAATTCAGTTGCAGGAGGTGGTCGCCTGCTCGACAGGATTCGCAAGTGGTATTATAATGCAGCTGGATTCAACAAACTCGGTAAGTGTTTCACTAGGTTCTAAAAACTCTGCCAATGTAACAATCCTCAAACTAGTTATGGTTCATAACTGGTGTACGTACGTGCAGTTTGGTGTAAGTTTTTTTGATCAAAATTAGGTACTACTTTTGTGGGGGAAAAGTTAGCAATAGCTTCAGTCATCATGATTGCTACCTAGTAATGAATCAGTGACTTTTCTGTTATTTCTGTGTTTGCTCTTGTTTTCAGTGCAGTAACTTTTAACAGTTATGGTTAAGCCGGAGCAGTTGAAAAAACTTTCACAAAGCAGTCCTGAAAGCTTATTTATCTTTTTCCACCAAGTCACTTTCACTGGCCAGAATCTTCTAACCCAAAGGCTGCCCTTGAAGCTAGAGGGATTCCCACTGATAGCAGTCGGTCCTTCTGTGATACTTATGCGAAGCATCCAGAGTGCCAAGAATTGATTTAGTTAGTTCTGCCCTTTGTATCACCATAACTTCACTTGGTGTCTCTCTGGCCCACGCAATGGTGAAGTAGGTGTAAAAATAGTATTTCCTCAAGTAGAGGAGGTTGCCTTGCTGGTATTTTCTTCAATTTGTTCAGAGTTGTTACCAAGTTTCTTTCAGCTATTTAGATGGTAGAACTGTTTCTGAATGACAAGAGAATCTGAATATTCACAGCCTGTCTTTTACTGCTCACCACAATATGAGCAAATCGTTTAAAGGCAGTTAACATACCTGCACTGGGGAAGTTAGTAAAAAAAGACAACTGTTGAGGAATAAGCCTGGGTCTTTCTTACAGAGATGCGGTGCTTAGCCCGTCTTTTTCTATCTATCTGCTGAAATTCTTAATGACATTATTACTTTTTGCTGCTTTTCTGGGAATGCAACTAAAAACTGAGAAGAAACACCAAATCTAATCTAGTGATTAAACTAACAGCCATGCCCCATGTGCCTTTGAAATAAATTACAAAACTGAATTCAAGAATATGTGGTTCAAAAGAAACTTCTGTTTTGTTGGGAGACTACTGCCAACTCAGTCACATGAGATCAAAACCTTTAACCACAAGTCAGTAGGTACACTCTTGTAATCTGCAATAATTTTGGAATATTGCAGAAGTAATATTTTGTCCTATGTTGTTAATACTGAAACTTAAGGCAGAGTTGATTGATTTTCAGAAATCCTTTGTTCCACAAACAATGTGGGGGTGTTCTTGGCTTTGACAAGACTGGGTACTTCTCCTTGGTTGAACTTTTGATTTGAGGCAGCATGGGAGGGAACCAACTGGTGCACAAATGTCTGGCTTCAGGTTTCCATAGCTTAATATAGTCAACGGAGACCAGATCATTATGCATAGTGGAGTTTAGAGAATAATTCCTCAGTACTGAAGTAGTGATGTCTGTGGTTGACTGACTCTGATGGATTCAGAGCTCATAAACCCTTAACCTAGACAGTCATCTCAAATACAGATATAAAATTAGGTGAGCATAAGTCTACTCCTCAGACCCAGTATAGTTACTGTTCTGTATATATGTATACACTCTTATGAAACACATTGAATTAAATATGCATTTTCCTTATTCCTCCTTAAGAAAAGGAGTGAAAACAAGTAAATAGAGTATGCGAAAGCCAGTGTTCAGAGTTTGTTCTCTCTGAGCAATTAGTGGTTCTCTTCTGGATTGGTTTGGTTTTTCTTCATAACTTTGCACTGGGAGTGTTTTGCCCATGTTATGTAGAAACACCTGTGTCGATCCTAAATCTTACTTAAGGATATTTATGTAGTGATACTGTAAAATCTTCTTGGTACAGGATTAATGCGAGATGATACGTTGTATGAAGATGATGATGTAAAAGAAGCACTGAAGAGACTTCCAGAACATCTTTACAATGAAAGAATATTTCGCATAAAACGAGCACTCGACTTAAGCCTGAAACATCAGATCCTTCCAAAAGATCAGTGGGTGAAGTATGAAGAGGTATGTGTACAGAGTGTTTCCAAGGTGGAGGTCTTAAATGGCACTGCTATGACTGGTCTTTGGGATCTTCAGTCTCTGAAGAGATACACGCTAACATGTCCTTTATAATGACTAAATGAGTGTGTATCTCATAGGATACCTCAGGAAAACACAATTTTTGATCGCTGTTCAAAAATCTCTGTTTTTCAGTGGAAATTACAAAATTTTTCTCAAGATAATAAAAGCTTCAACTACAGCTCAGAGCCATAGCACATTGTTTATATTCAGACAAAATATTTCTTCTAAGCTATTAGATAAAGAGATACACTGTAACTAGCTTAAAAATTCTTATAAAAGGTCTCTTGCTTTTCTGATAAGTTTCTTAACTTTATAGAAAATCTTGAGCCAAACCTTTTATTCATGAAGATGCCAAAGAAGAATAATCTAAAGGGAAATCTTGCATTAAAATAAATGTCGTCTTGTAATTTGAAAAACAAACTACACCTTCCATTTGAAGTGTAACTAAAATTCATTTTTTTGTAGTGGATTGATTCACAGACTTTGCATTACTGTCCATCTCAGCGTTCTCCGCATTACCAGGCAGAAAGGAATCTCACTGCTAGACTTTTGACTATAGGATAGTATAAGGGTATTAGGTTTCCCTATATAAGCAGAGGCTGTTTCTTGTGGTCTTATTAGTCATATTTAAGTAACTGGTGCATTGAATAATTGGTTGCGTAGTTCCTTAAGCAGTAGTGTGGTTTGTAAGTGTTAGACATGGTCAAGACGTTCCATCGAATCCAAGTTTACAGTGCTGTTTAGAAGTTAAGTTCAAAATTAGTTTCTCCAGAGCGTTATAGTTGGACTTTGAATTATTAGTTGAAGTGAATCTTGTATGTTTGGGTATCGCCCAAAAGAACATTGTTTCTAAAGGTATAGCTGGAAGCATCACTTTGCTTGTTAATGTTGGCGAGGCATTAGGAATTAGTGGTTGCTGGAGTAAAGAACTTGTCATTGCAGACTTGGCAGATACGAAGTTTACCTTTTCAGAGTAAGTAATGTTTTGTTTTTTGTTTTTTTTTTTTTTTTTTTTTTTTTT